CCCCCTTATAAAATTTAAAAATTTCACCCCCCGCGCCCCCCCCCCCCTTTTATTTTTTTCATATTGCCCTCCCCAGTGACATTATTTATGGATGGCCCCTATAGTATAATGGGCATTTTTTTATCTCTTCTAATCTAATGGGCATAAATATTTATCGAATAGTTTGCACTTAAACTTAAATTTTCTCCAATACTTGTAAAACGTCCAAACATACCGGTACACATACAAACTCCAATTTTTTTATTATGGAAATCATTTTTTTTTAAATTCTTTTAAATATACCGGTACAAGTTTGATACAATATGAGCATAAAATATAAATAGTTTCTCACAAATTTGTACACATAATAAAATGAGAAAATCTGCTGAGAATTAACAACACGATGAAACAACGGTGCACTTAATTATGTTTACATACTCTCAAATATTGTTTGGGTTTCTTAAGCAACCCCCCCCCCCCAAAAAAAAAAAGACCACCAAAAAAACCGGTTATATAAAATCACCGTTTTCAGTACCGGTAGAATATAATAATATGTTAAACAGTTACTGAGTTGGGAATATTTGTTAATACTTGTCTTCTAAAAAAAATATTTTTTTTTATTATGAGCTCGTTTTACTTTCCTCCAACATGGAAGGGTCTAAAATCGTATGTACAATTCGATGGCGGTTCAAAGGTCTACTTGTTTCACCACATAGTCCAAAAACTCCCAACTTTTACTTTTAAATGTTAATCTTGCTGTTAATTTCTACAAAAGAAACTTGAAACCACAAGCAAATTTTGAAAAAAAAAATGATTGCCAGAGTGGCTCTTGAGTCTTGTGTGTGCAGTAAGTAGTACCGGTATCACAAGTTATACTACCTACGTTCGCATACCGGTTGAAATTTTAAAAAAAAAGTTTACATATTGAAATTCTGTCCAGGAACGTGTACGTCGGTTTGGGTTCGCGAAGAGTTGATTCAGAAACATCATTTTGGTTAGGTACTATTTATAAAATTCCCAAAACACCTAACAGGAACAAATCATTTCCACAAAGATATAGTTCTGGACCATTCATTTATTACGTAAGCAATGAGATAGAAAAAATGGGGGGGGGGGGTCATGAGGGTATTATGCTGAAGGGTGCCTATCAAGAGGTNCAGAGTGTGTGGATACAAAATGTATTGATACAACAAGGGGGGGGGGAGCGGTATACAATATTGACTTAACTTATAGACAACGTAATAAATGGACAGCCCCTTTTCATGTACCGGTACTTCCTTCACTCTTAACAGTGTCAAACAAAACCGATCGTCTTCTAAAAATATTTTGTTTCCCTGTATGTGATTTAATTTGCTTTCATAAAGAATTCAAAAACAATCGGCAACGCGCTTTCAAGAAAAAAAATAATCGAAAACATGTGTGTCCATTTCTCTCCCTTGTCAATTTTCCTTATGCTTCATTACTGCATACTCTTTAACTTATTGTAATAACGTAATTGTTGACAATATTTTGCTAAATGAATTAATAAATAAGTATGTAGACTTAAATTTTTAAAGCTTTCGTTTTAGAAAACATTTTTAATATCCCCTGAGATAAGCATTAAACTGTCCCCATGTTCGCCCCCCCCCCCCCTTGTTTGAGACAAGAAAAACAGATAAGGGTCGAATACCCTAAGAAGTTATGAGGAATGCAGTTGATGCCATTGCAGGGTCGAATACCCTAAGAAGTTATGAGGAATGCAGTTGATGCCATT